TTATGCGGTATACTTCCATATATTGAAATGAGTAATTTTGACCCCTTCCGGGGTTCCAGTGTTAAATATAATTTTTCTGGTTAATTGCAGAATTGATGGGGAGAGGGTGCCGTTTCTCTCTGGTGACCATCACTGATCGTGGAAACTGGATATTTAATAAATCCGACCGTCGAATGCTCCACGTCCCCCGTATTCAGTTTCACCTCTGTTTCCCATAAATCGTTGCGCCCGCTACGATTAACGATAAATCTGTTATTCCGCGACGCTTGTCACAGAACCGCGCCGTCGAGCAATTAAAGTGACGAGAGGATGACGCCGTTCCCTGGATCCTACAAACTTGGAAATGCCGGCTGAGATTATTACCGAGATGCACTGAGCATCTACATACATGTTGTAACCGGGTCACAGTTATAATTGTCCTATAAAAAGATTTAATGTAACCGGACGGGAACGCGATTACTGGGAATTCCCGGATTCCTTCAGCGAAATCATCATTCATTTGCTCGCCGAATGGCTCCGAATTAAAAGAACGCAAGTATTTCCATTTACGTAACATAAGAAAGTCACATAAAAAATTTGTCTACTAAAAAAGATGGATTATAAATATTCTTTATATATTTAAGGATGTATTGACTATACAGTCAAACCCCAAAGTTTATGTACCTTAGGAAAACGCAGTTCCTATAATTAAAAAGAAATCAGACNATCTAATGTTAATCGATTACTCCTGAAGTATTGAAGATAGAAGAAAATTGTATATGACCTTTTTTGTAAAAAATAATATTACCTACAACTTTTATTCGAAGCATTTTTCGAAATTTTGAGATAAAAGAATTTTTTTTATGTTTCGTATACAAGAGTCTCGTACCTCCATATGTGAAACCGGTCTCAGATTTTAGGAATGCTGATTGTACATCAAAAGATATCCATTACTAGATATAAGTGAGCTTCGGTACATTCTATAATGACGCGTTACGAACGGCCTGTCCCCGTTTCAACATGCCACATGAAAATCACTAGTTTCCATTTTCGAGCACGGTGATCAGCGTATTTTGACATTGACATTTAACCACCGTCCGTAATTACCGATTTTCAAGAATAAATAATCCAACAGTGTGAAGAAACACGTTTCACGAAAGGTTTAGGATAATTAATCGAGTACCCAATGGCTGACCTAGAAATCTCTGCGGGCCAGAGGATGCGAGAACGCTGGCTAATTCATCATCGTCCGGGCCTGACCGGGGGCCCGTCGAGGCGAACCGCGTTTCCAAACGATATGAGTTACGACCGGGACGGGGTGTTAGGCGTTCCGTGCGGGTGGATCGTGTTTTACCGTGACGGAGACACGCCGGCCGAGGAGAGGAAGAGGCCAACTGGAACGCGGAGTTCGCACGAGTGCGCGAATTCAATGGAAGGTTATGAATATATCCGATCCCCTGTTGTCGAAGTTGCGTGTCATAGTTAGGCCTCTCTTCTTATTCGCGCCTTTGTCTGTTGCATCGCGATTCTAAGTAGGCATTCCCTCGGTCACGATGAAAGTGAAAATCTACGCTCGTTCTACTCGCGGATGACCTACTGCTTGCCAAGAATCTGGGTGCTCCGTCGTACCACCACACGACTGCTCGGTCATTTATTTGCTCTGCTTCTTTACGCCCCCAATTAGAAATATTTCGTAGAGTTCCTCTGACGATTAATAAAATATTTGACGTCACGTGACGATGTTTCATTGAATCGTTTACTGAAAACTATTGTATGAAATAGGTCTAGTCTAACCCAACATAACCTAACCTAATAGGAAACTTGACTTTCTCGATTTTCCTACAATAAAACTGGAAATCCATCTGACCTTTCGTTTTATGTTCCCCATAAAACCAGATTAAAACAGTTCAAATCTTGTACAACAGAATCTTCATACATTTCGATTGCATTGATCTTAAAGTGAAGAGTACCTGAAAGTAACATTTAATAAATCCCTCGTCAAGAAGCTCGGACAAGCGAGGATGATTGAAACTTCCCTTTAACGGTTCAACAGGTTTCTACAAATTGTTTGGAACTGCTCGAATCGGTGGTAACATTGTTTCAGAC